AACCTCCTTTTTTTTTCGGCTTTGGACGGGCTCCCCCACCCAAGCCGGGGGCAGAGGGGTTTTTTTCGGCGCCCCCCCCCCCCCCCCCCCCCCCCGGTGTTTGCCATCGGGGTTGGGTTTTTGTCGCTTGGCAACGACGTTGTAAAACAAGCACTCCCCTCGGTGTTTGCCGTCGGGATTGGGTTTGTTTTCGTCGCTTGGCAACAACGTTGAAAAACAAGCCAATTCACTTCGTGAACTCGGCAACCAGGTTGCCGTTTTTTGTTTTTTACCTCTGTTTTTATTTTTTTGCGGTAACCATAATGGTGGTCGAGTAGATCATGTTGTGCGGGGTCGATAACCCTCACTCCGCGCAAGGGGGATGATCGCACCACGTTGTGTTATAATGGTGAAGCATCCTCGAGGCAGTTAGTTACACAGTGCTTACAACTGTCTCTGGAAGTGAAAGCTCCAGGAAATAAATTAAGTCATACATACGCAGCTGTCGTCCGTACCCAAGGGAGTAAGCACAAGATGCCGAACACCCTTAGCAGGATGCAGCGCACCCTTCATGCGACTCGCCGAATATCTCACGGAGCTTCGCGGTTGGTGATGTGACATATTCATGACGTGGACACATCAGGGACTCGCGCTCGCTCGGACGCTGGTGAAGGAAGAAAGAGATAGGCCGAATTGTTTCGAATCTCAGAGCGCTTGGAGCAAAAACACTACTGCCAGCCTGGCTCCGCAAGAAACACAAGCTGACAAGATGTCAACAACGGCGAAGTATACTATCTTTACACCAGTAGCTCCGACGCGCGAGTTTCTTCAATATCGCCCCAAAACAACCAAAACCCGGATCGCGTGACACGGGATGACGCGGACACAGCTCGCAAGCTGGTAAACATAAAGAGAGATTGTAGATCCAACTGCTTCGAACGTCAGAGCGTTTGGCGCAGAAGCAACACCCTGTTTCCGCAAGAAACGCACGGCGAAGATCTCACAACCGCCAAGACAGCAGTGGGTCGGGCCTCGCGCACGAATAATGCGGCGAAACTAACCCTGAGCTCGTGAACCACAGTCCCGCGGCCTGTGATTGGCCGAGCTGTGGTTGATGTCATCTGGATGGCGGCTGTTCGACCTTCTCTCCGAATTGACAGCCCACGCCCCCTCCACCTTCGCTCACTCCGTTTTCTGCCCACCACATCCTACACCTTTCTCTTCCCACCACCTCCTCACATCAAGATGAAGTCCTGCGTTGTAGCCGCTGCCTGCGTGGCCGGAGCCCAAGCCTTCGTGGCACCCAGGTGAGATCAGCTGTTGTTTCAGGTTGCTGGATCGCTACCTCTCGTACTTGTATTCTACCCTTCCTTTTCTCCCACGCGCTTTTTCTAGCAGCGGTTCGGTAGCAGCGGCTCGGTGCGTATGGTGTGGGGACAGCGAGTTGTATCAACTAAATAATCTTGGGCCAGAACCCATCTGCATGTGCGTACGTACTCACTCGTATGATACCTCGCTCGTTGCAACACACGAGGCCGTCTTGCCACAACGACCCGAGTTTCATTGCTCTGAGATAAGGAAGGCTGTTACACACTGCTGACGACGCTCGGGTTTGAAGACTCACGAGGCTCCGTCGATTTCACTGAACACTCCCAAGTCCCCCAACGTATCTCACGTGTCAGCTGTTGTTGAACCTCTGGTTTCGCGCGGATTTCGCGAACAGGAGCACCTCGCTTTTTTGTTCTTTCGTCTTTTTCATGTGTTCGCGGACATCCTCGCAACACCCTTTTCCCACTGCTCTTTATTATGCATACAAATGGGCATCTATGGGGGAGCCACAAACCAGCGTTTTCCGCATTTCCTCTTGCGGTGCTTGCCTTCACTCCACGAACATTGGAACCCACTCGGAGCTGCGTAGGGACATACAGTAGTTCCTATATGCTACACATGAAGGCAAAAGGATTTTGAAGGTTGCACGAGGCCCTTCACTCGACGAACATTGGAACCCACTCGGAGCTGCGTAGGGACTACAGTAGTTCCTATATGCTACACATGAAGGCAAAAAGATTTTGAAGGTTGCACGAGGCCACCAGACGAGCTATTTTTTCATCCAGTACGGTAAGGGTTCCACGATCTCACAACGGTAATCCAATTAGCATGCCCGAACAACCACAATGGTCCCAACAGCTTCCTTCTACACCTCCCAGCATAGCGTACAGAGAACAGAGAGATACACGACGGCTACGAAACTGTCTCGCTGAGGCTGTTACCCATAGCGGAGATATCGCTGTATGCTGCTCGGGACTTTCGCAGAAATACAGGTAGCTTCCGCTCACGCTATGAATGCGTTGCGTCTATCGTAGACTCATTCTTTTCTACAGATAAGGATGGGTTCGTTGCGATTTCTGAAGAAAGAAACAAATGGATGGTTACACCTTTCCCATGGCGAAGCTTTTCGTTCCCCACAACGGAAGACGTGAAATAGTCGCCACACAGGGCCTTGTCACGACCGAACGCCTCCGTTGTACTTACATACAATTGTTACGCATTCCGCTCACGATTACTTGCCCCTTTCATGCTGAACGTCAGGTCCTTTGGAAATATTCTTGAACTTGCTGAGAGGGAGTCTTGAACCGTTGAAATGATCCGCCCGTGCCTGCTCTCAGCTTTTCAATCTGCTTGAACATGGTTTCCAGAATCTAATCCCTGTCCCCGTTTTCCCTCCTTTCCTGTCCTTCCCGTTTCACTGTTTTCCCCCACTTTCGACCACCCCCACCAACTATACACCACAGCGCGTTCAACGGCGCCGCCGTCGCCACCCCGGCCAAGTCGTCCTCGGCCATGAAGATGTCGTTCGAGTCGGAGATCGGCGCGCAGCCCCCCCTCGGATTCTGGGACCCGCTCGGCCTCCTCGAGGACGCCGACCAGGAGCGGTTCGAGCGCCTCCGGTACGTGGAGGTGAAGCACGGGCGCATCGCTATGCTCGCCATCGCCGGTCACCTGACCCAGCAGAACACCCGGCTCCCCGGCATGCTCTCGAACTCGGCGAACCTGTCGTTCGCGGACATGCCGAACGGCGTGGCCGCTCTGTCGAAGATCCCCCCGGCGGGCCTCGCCCAGATCTTCGCGTTCATCGGCTTCCTTGAGCTGGCTGTGATGAAGAACGTGGAGGGCTCGTTCCCCGGAGACTTCACCCTGGGCGGCAACCCGTTCGGGTCCTCGTGGGACGCGATGTCGGAGGAGACCCAGGCGTCGAAGCGCGCGATCGAGCTGAACAACGGGCGCGCGGCACAGATGGGCATCCTGGCTCTGATGGTGCACGAGGAGCTGAACAACAAGCCCTACGTGATCAACGACCTCCTTGGCGCGGGATACACCTTCAACTAGATTTCTAGTCCGTGCGTCATTTAGACCTTTTGCACCGGTTTTGTTGCTGGGGGTGCTTGTGAATAGCGGTGACGTGCTGTGATTCATGTTTTGAAATTGTTTTCTTTAAGAGCTGCGATGGGGTGAGGGGACCAGCTCTTCCTCCCTAGATGGAACCCGGATGATGCTCTACTGCGGCGGCGTTCTATTTTCTTTTAGACTTAATAGAAACGGTGTCATGTCGACTGATGTAGAAAGAATAGACGGTGTAAACCGTTGGCGGTTCGCAAGGCACACCCTCGTGGGGCGTGCGGTTTGCTTTGGCAGGGGAGGGGGCTGGAGGAAGGGGATTCCTTCATTGGAGTGCCTTGTGGGCTGCACGTGATCTCATGAGGTTTTTGCCTGGTGGATGGGGCCGGTTGTTGCTGTTGCCCGTTGTGCCTTGTTGTTTTTGTCGAGTCGTAGTGTCGGGATTGACGATGATGCATACACTCGAGAGACGTGCTGCGTGGATCGTAGCTGTCTTCTGCGCGTCGTTGAATGGACTGAAAGTTTGTTGATAATAACAAAGGTCTGATTCCAACAACCATCAAGCTTGCACTGCTGTAGCCAAACAAGCTTGCGCTGCTGTGCTTGCGAACACTATCTTGCGTGCGGTTTCGTGTGTGGTGTTCCCGGCGGCGAAGCTGCTTTACATCTGGAACACCTGCAGGTGCGCCAGCACTTCAGCAGGAGTTGGTCGACAGCAAAGTCTATCTTAGATGTTCGGTTGATGGACTATGCTTTGCTAATGTTGTGATACACGCTTGTAGACTGGTGTAGACTTGATAGATTGCGCGTTGCGTGCGACCCGAGACTTGCATGAGACGAGCGTGTGTCTTGAAACGTTACGGGACCGTTGATCGCGTAGGCTGGCACGACCAAACCCGGCACTCACTGTGTATACTTGTATCGCGCTGGGTTGGCTTTCTCACCTCTCAACTCGTGGGGAGAACAAAGACGAGGCGTGTTTCTCTTGGCAAGTTATGCGTATGGCATTGGCTGCGCACGACAACTTTTCAGATGCTTCTTGTTGGCGACCTCGGTCCCAAGCGTAGTAGACGAGAACACGCACCGTTAGCGAGGTGGACATGAACTTGGTACGCAACACATCGACGCGCATCGTACACTCACTGGCAGGGTCGCACACAATACTACATAAACTATGCCATCGCTGACAGAATGGTGTTGGGGGAGATGGACTGTTTTCAGTTTTCACGCGACGACGTAATTACAACCCTTCCCTGACGTTGGCTCACGAGCCACACCGAAATTTACCGTGGGAGAATGCCGTTGGTCAGCGCTGTTATTGGGCACCGGCGCACGCCAGCCGATATGCATACGAGCACGATGAATACATCAGGGACAGATATCTCAGTAGCCCTGTATCTAGTCTTTCTGGCCTATCCCCACAGCAGCAGTACATCCCCGCCAGCCTCTCTCTCACCTCGGTACTCTTGATGTGAACTACACCACTACTGTATTCGTACGAGCCGACTCCCTTCGCTTGTGGTTAGACGAACAGCCCAAAACACGAAGAACTATAATAACGCCCCGACAACATCTTCGAAGGCAGAAAGCATGACCCACAGACGACCCACAGACAATTCAGTTCAAAGCACGTACGTACGTACTTCGCACAATAATAGCGGCCAGCCTGTATGCTGTGTTCATGGGGGGGCCTTGCTGAAGAACGGCGTGCTGTAATTCCTAGAGGTGGTGATGCGTACATGTCGTCGTTATTCGTGCAGCAGCGTCGTCACCTCGATTCCTGATCTGAGACGACCGCTGATTCTAACGCTCTTTTTCACAGCAGATAGTTTTAGTCATCGGCGGGTTACGTTGACCGCTGGTTGGTGCGGTATGTGCTCCTACTTACCGTAGGTGCGAGCTGTTTCGTCCCCCCTCCAGAGCTCCGATCGCCCTATCTAGCAGAATACAAGTCACTGCAGAGTCACTGCAGAGTGAGTGGTGGCAGGCACCGTAGCTGGATGTGCAAGCTCACTCTTATTCTCGTCTACGGTGCGCGACCCGTACTCACGTCATCACAAGTAAGTACGTGCGACACGCCGCCACCCCCAAGAAAATAACAAAAAATTGGAGTCTCCATTCTGCCAAACACACGCACACACACATACGATGCCTCACGGGGTCCCAGGTAATGGCATTTAGAAGTGTTTTGTGATTTCAACCGCAATAGGACTGATGTCTTTTCATTGGTCAGGCGATAAGCGCTGTCCGATGCATATAAAAAAAAACACACACACACACATACGATGACCTTCCTCACCACAAACGACGCAGGGCCAGAGAAGAAATCGTAGACGTGTGCAGTTTTCTTCTGTTGCTACCGTTTCTGCCTTTCATCCGGAGAATAGCTTTGCCTCCCCCATGCCTCGACCCCCTCACAGGGTCCCAAGTGTTTACAATATTTTTCTTTTCTACCCGACACTGCGACTCACTGACGTCGTTTCATTGGTCAGCCGGTTAGTGCGGTCGATGCTAATAATATAAACACTCACGCGCGTTTTCCACTCACTTGTACAGCAGTATAGTAGTGTACACGTATCCATTTCATTATAAGATGCCCCACAGAGTGATGTGGCTGGAGCGCATGTACTCGGCATCGATAGTGTGTGCCTACGGTGGCCTCGTCCGACCTTACCGTGTGCTGTGGTCGGAACGAGCCAGCAGACTGCACGGCGGGCACACTGCTGACAGCCAGAGTACGCAGCAGCTCACATGATCCCACATCGGTCGCTCTTTGTATGGAAATCAGGGCAAGAGATATGGAGAGGGGGGGAGCAGGCGATGCAAGAAAGAGATTGTTGCTGGAACGATTTTCTCCAAAGATCGCGCCCCAAATCAACATCGGGTAACACGTGATGACGTGGACACAGCTCGGAAGCTGGAAAAGATAAAGAGAGATAGTAGATCCAACTGTTTCGAACGTCAGAGCGCTTGGCGCAGAAGCAACACCCTGGTTTCGTAAGAAACGCAAGCCGACAAGGTCTCACAAACGCCAAGGCAGTGGGTGCCTCGCGCACAAAAAAATGCGGCGAAACAAACCCTGAGCTCGTTCACAGTCCCGCGGTCTGTGATTGGCCGAGCTGTAGTTGATGTCATCTGGATTTGCGGCTGTTCGACCTTCTCTCTTCTCTCCGAATTGGCAGCCCACGCCCCGCCCCCTTAGCTCACTCCGTGTTCTGCCCACCACATCCTGCACCTTTCTCTTCCCACACCACCACCTCATATCAAGATGAAGTCCTGCGTTGTAGCCGCTGCCTGCGTGGCCGGAGCCCAAGCCTTCGTGGCACCCAGGTGAGAGCAGCTGGAGACTTGCTTGATCGTGTGCCCTGTGCCCTGGGTTGCTGTGATTTCTGTCATGGGTGCACGTCAACGTGATGATGCGCCCGTTTTGTTGGTCGCGGTTGTGCTATGATTCTATCGCATGAGCTCCTCGTCTGTCTCGTCACCCAAGCCGCTCTCCTGGTGTTCTGGAGAGCCCGCTTCAAGTTTCAGAGTTCTATGCAGAGAAGTTGATAGCCTCTACATGATGACAGCAGTTCTTTGGGCCGTCCTGTCCTTCTCTTGCTTTCAAAACAACTACCCCGTACAATTTCAAGTATGCTACCATCACGCGCCCATTACACTAGTGGCTGCCTCACAGCAACGTCTCGGTACATAGGGCATGGGGACAGCAAGTTCCACGAACTAAAAACGATCTGCCATAAGGGTGCGAATGTATCCGATCATGCGTACCTACAGCAGTGGCTCTCGTCCCCATCCAAACGCGTACCGGAGAAAATATTGCACCAGTTCTCAGGATAAGGTCAAGGTTACATCACCTCTGCGCCATGCCCGGTTTGAATCAGACACCAGGCGCCGTCGATGCCACGCAACACACTCGAGTCCAACATCCATGGTGTTGCTTCCCCCAACATATGCGTAACTCACGCGTCAGCTTTTGTCGAGCGTGTGGTTTCTCTGGATATCGCTTACTGCACCTCGCTTTCTTTTTTTTTTCGTGAGCCGCGGTGCGCGAAGAGTAACGATTCCCAGGGTCGCATCCACCAGGGACCCAAGTTCTAGAAGCGACTGCCTGGAAGTTCCCTCCTATTCGACCAGTACGAGGTCTGTAGAGCACAGATTGACGATCTGCTGGCTTGTGACGAAGAACTATAGGGCGCTCTTCACCAGTCCGGTTTGGTCGTGCTCCGACAACAGATGCCCCGTGCTTCACCGGCGTTTGTACCCCAAAACCATACAATGGGAGATCACCCCCCTCCCCGGTAGTTGTTGAGGTAATGGAGCACCAAAAAAAATCTAAATCTCCCACCCACAAACACGCAGTCACGCCGTTTTGGAACAGAGGAAGCACGTAGCTAAACACGCAACAGCGCTGGGAGGGACAAGACAACACTGGCGGGGAAAGGGAGCCATGCACAACAGCTCTGGCGGATGCCATTGTCATTGCCTCTGCTTGGGTGTGTGGGGAGCGGTCACGTGGAAATCAAGGTCTTTTTTTGGTGGCGTTTCTTTTTTGCGGTATGCAAGAAATTTGCTGACTCTCGCCAACTCAGCTTCCGTGGGTCTTATGCCCCCGTATCCTCTATTAGCCGTCACACAAGAGGTTTGAACACACACAGCTGGCGAGGAATATCTTCATAAATACTGCTGCGTCACTCTGTACAGAGAAACCACCGAAAACCTAGTTAGGTGGAGGAAGTTATGTATGACGTAAAACCTAATTAGGTGGAGAACTTATGTATGACGTATATGTCATTAGATATTATACCACACCCCCTGTACCGATTTCAAAGCTAGAGTACTCCACGTTGAAGAGGATGCGTACACCCTGCGGGACGTTGTCGGAAAGCTCTCGACAACGCGATTCCACAACACCATTATCGGCACCGCCATTCTTTGTGGTGTGGAGCAACCGACATTTATGGGTCCAGGGGGTGTGGTATTTTGCGTAACCTACGGTACTGGTGTATTCATGCGTGTATGCACACGCCAACGGCCATTCGTTCCAGAAGCCTTTGTTGATTGTTGATGACTCGGGACTCAATATATTTCAAATTGATCGGCTGCACCGGCCGCTTGCACAACAAAACCGGGTAGTGTTTTTGTGAGGTTATACATGTTTTTTCTCTTTCTGCGCGTGTTCAGTACCTCACGCCATCCTTTCCTCCCCTGCCCTTTTGCCTGTTGCCACCCACCCCCATTAAATCACCACAGCGCGTTCAACGGCGCCGCCGTGGCCACCCCGGCCAAGTCGTCCTCGGCCATGAAGATGTCGTTCGAGTCGGAGATCGGCGCGCAGCCCCCCCTCGGATTCTGGGACCCGCTCGGCCTCCTCGAGGACGCCGACCAGGAGCGGTTCGAGCGCCTCCGGTACGTGGAGGTGAAGCACGGGCGCATTGCCATGCTCGCCATCGCCGGTCACCTGACCCAGCAGAACACCCGGCTCCCCGGCATGCTCTCGAACTCGGCGAACCTGTCGTTCGCGGACATGCCGAACGGCGTGGCCGCTCTGTCGAAGATCCCCCCGGCGGGCCTCGCCCAGATCTTCGCGTTCATCGGCTTCCTTGAGCTGGCTGTGATGAAGAACGTGGAGGGCTCGTTCCCCGGAGACTTCACCCTGGGCGGCAACCCGTTCGGGTCCTCGTGGGACGCGATGTCGGAGGAGACCCAGGCATCGAAGCGCGCGATCGAGCTGAACAACGGGCGCGCGGCACAGATGGGCATCCTGGCTCTGATGGTGCACGAGGAGCTGAACAACAAGCCGTACGTGATCAACGACCTCCTTGGCGCGGGATACACCTTCAACTAAACCACCCACCCACTTTTGCGTTCCCAACGTAGCGAAGCGTTTCCCGTAGGTTTTGACTAGGAAGGACTTGAACTATCTGTGTTGGTTGAAGCTGGTGTTTTGGTGTGCCGCACGTGCCTCTGTTGCATCTTAGGTCTCCAATACGAGTGTCTTCTCTAGTTTTTTCTCGGGGTTAGAATAGAGAAACAAACGTTTACGCAACCCGTTTTACGAAACGGTTCTGGAGGTCTTGATTTTTGACTAGACAGCGCGATAGTTTGGATGTTGGAAGCAAAACTGCTGTGTTCCTCGGGGTAATCAAGATAGGACCGTGGTCAAGCGTAGTCCTTCGCTCCCTCTTTCGTCGTGGATGCAGGACTCTTGTTTGTGTTTTTTTTTCCTTCCGTGTGGTGTGTTCACGCTTGCGTTCGATGATGATGAGTCGTGAGTGTGTCCCCTCCTACGGGACAATTTTCCGCGTGAAAGGACTAAAACATGTAATTTCCTCAATTTGTGCACGTCGTTCTGTCATGTGGCAAAGGATGCGGGCCATGGCCACACGCCGTTTGTTGACTCGAAGGAGTACCGCGGCCGTACGGGCCCGCCCTCCCACCTGGATACATGAGTCGAACTCAGGATGTGGAGTGCGTTGTTCAGAGCCAGCCGTGTCTTTGTAGCCTTGACTAGGTGCAATATTCACATACATCCAGTGTTTCTTTCGGGACGCCGTCCAACCCATCGCTGCTATTTAGATGCTTCGTATTGGCGACCTTGGTCCGGAGTATATGCTTGCTCGAGCACGCGACGCTGATGATTTTGGACGCAAGAAGCACGCTTGTGCCGATTACGTTACATGTGGAGGCGAGCGCAGCAAAAGACAAGGAAGTCGCCCCGACAACATGTTCGAAGGCAATAAGCATCATGACCCGCATCGAGCATGACCTCTCCACGCAACCCCTGCTGCGGTCACAGTTTGGGGGAAGAGAACATGGCGGCAGTAGGATCTACGGGGGAAGGGTGAGGTGAAAATCTCCGTCCAAAAGAAGTCTGCTTCTCACAACTAAACGATCCGTGGCCAGGCAGCCGTCCGAGCGTGGGCGTTGACCGAGCCGATCGACGGTAGCGACGAGTCCGTGGCACCCCGTCTATAGGGTGACAGGGTGTGGATCCCCAACGTCCGACAACGTTCACAGGGAGGGGTGAGGATTATGCAACACAGTTCGGGGCCACTCAACCATTCATGAAAGAAGTTGGAGGGGGCCCCGGGGCAGAATCTCTTTTGTACGCTACGCTATCATCATCATCGCGAAGAAGATGCGGGATGGGTGCAGTAGTGCTTGCGGAGGTTTTCTTCAAGCAGGGTTGCCGCACACAGTACAGTCAACAGTGCAAGCTTTTGTCGTGTTCGGCCAATAAATAGTTGCATTCGACTGACGAGAATAATAATATAATAATATATTGTCAGGTCACACCTTATTGTACTACTACCGCAGTACTTTTGACATGATGATGGTGGCACTCACTCTTCTCGCGAAATCTTCGGATTGTTGCGAATGACGAGGAGAAACAAAAGAAGTAGACAATACCATACACCGTGTTACATACATACAGCGCTACGTAGTAGTCTATCCCTCCCTCCCTCCTTGTTGTCCCTGTCGTCCACAATCAATGTAAGAAACAATATTAAATGGTGACATATTAGACACACACACACACACACACACCTGACTGCTCGCATCGCTTCCTCTCTACTACTACTTATTATAGTGGGCCAGCTCTGCGCGTTGAAGGGGCACCCCGTACAACAACAGCAACAAAGAGTCGAACAAAGTACTACTCCTTGTAGTACCTTGTTAGCTGGTATACCAACTTTCTATCTATAATAATATAACGCTCTGTCTGCGCGAGAGATTGATTGTTGTGCGCAGTTAGTTCGTTCGTAAAATTCCGAGCACCTCTATCTCGGCGCTACAAGCCTAAAAATTATCCGATATAGGGCATAGATGATGGGTGTGTGTGGTGTGTGGGGGAATGTTGTGGTGGGGATGGAGTGAGCTGTATGCATGCATGGTACATACAGTACTTACAAAAGTGGGCTGGCACAATATCTGCTCATAACAACACATCTATCTTCACAACGATTGTCGCAGCTCTTCGGCGGATCTTGCCGACGGGTACGTAGGTTTATGTACGAGAAATATTTTATTGTTCTTATTAATAATTCCTTCTGAAGTATGACGCACCGGATCCAGCAATGAAGAAGAGTGTACAACGAAAGAACGAAAGGAAAATGTACGTTATTCATACCGTCAGTAGAAACTACCTGTATTTCCATGGTCTCCCGAGCAGCACACAGCGATATTCTTCCACCCTTCCCTGTGGGAAAAAGGCTCAACAAGACGACAGTCGGTAGCCGTCATGTGTATCTATCTCTCTGTATGTTATGCTAGGAAGGTATTGAAGGAAGGTGTTGGTTTAGTGGGGTCGAGTGTGATATTTGTGGCACCCTTGAAGAAACACCATGCATGGATGTTTGGCACGGATTATACATGTATTAATTTTTTTTCGCTGAGGTTTTTGGCTGGAGGCTGGGCTGTTCAAGACCAAAACACGTCAGTCAGGTCAGTCAGTTGTGAGCTCAATAACTTGGGAAACGGCACACCGCAGCAGACAGACAGTCAGCTATGGGTTGGTCCTGCTGCCCCTGCTTTTGCTTTCACCTTGCACCCCTTGATGACGCTTTACCCTCATGAGAGCCCACTCCGGAGTATACCGTATACTTTTCTCTAACAACTCGATTGGATGCGCACCCGAGACCCGTGGAATATATATATTTTTTATGTTTCTTAATTTTTGTGGTCATATTATTTGGTCATAAAATTTATCGCGAAAAAAATTCTTTCCGGCAACCGGAATAATTATCTTGAACGGACCATTCATTGCAGATCACCACGAGTGGCTGGTTCTTGCCGAAGAACAGGAGTACAAAACCGAGACAGAGACATTGCAAAGAACTGCATTGGCATCATATGCGTATATCCTACTGTGTAGCTAATAGCAGAGAGAAAGGGGGCAGGAGAGGGGGAGGTCGAGAGCGCCGAACCTGCTGAACGAATATATATGCGGCGGAACTACATAGTTCGAAGAAAAAACTGCCGGTTCATCCGGATTACTTTATCCGCCGGCAGTTAGACAGATTATTTTCCGTTCACCCATGTACGCACACCTCGGCCCCCAAGAACGCGCCCGCCCCTCGATGGAGGCCACGACAATCTTTCTCGAAGAGCTGTAGATCCCTTCCATACGACAACCAACCCAAAAAAACATTCGTCATGGACAAATGGCAGTTTGATCACACGTGCATGCTGTTGCCCATGGGCGGGCCAACAACAACCGGCGTGGCTCTGGTGAGCTTACGCTTCTTAGCTTCCGCCGTGCTCCTGTACAGTGTCTTCTACCTCGCGATGGCCCGCGGCACGTGGTACCGCGAGCATTTCTTCGTGAACGATGAGCTCGACTATGACATATCCTCGGGGGCAAACATGAGCACCTCTCAAAACCAGCGCGCACTGTTCCTGCTACTGCTTCCCGTGGTGGCTGCGGCTCTCGGCGGAATCTACCAAGCGGTCTGGAAGTACAGGGAAGGCAAGGCGACACAGGATGGTTTGCCCGCATCGTCGTCTTCGAAGGTTCAGAGCTTTCTCAAGGCGTACAACAGCATCATCCACTTCCAATTCAGGCCTCTGGGGAAACTGTCTCCGTGAGTGCTTTCCTGCTTGATTACAGCGGTAGCGTGTGCTGTAAGCGCGTACAACATTTGCATGCTCATACATACATGCGCTTGTCATGGGATTTGAATGTTGGAAGTTGATCGTGTGAGTGTAGCGGGTTAATTAATTCTGCGTGCAACTTGCAGGCTTGTCATGGAATTTGAATGTTGGAAGTTGATCGTGTGAGTGTAGCGGGTTAATTAATTCTGCGTGCAACTTGCAGGAGTTTCGTCTCTTTTGGACAGCAGCAGTGCAGCTGTTGCCTTGCTTTGTAGACTGAGAGAAAGGGGGAAGGGATCGCTTACGCGCGGCTATCACATTTTAAACGATGCCCTTGACCCGGTCGTCATGCATGAGTAAATAGGTAGACACAGGGGTGTAGGTGAAAAAAAATGTATCCAAGAGACATACATGTAGACCGGCTACAAACCGGAAATCGAGGTCCGTAGTGTGTATGTGTGTGTTTTTATTATTGGCATCGACCGAGTGTGTGTGTGTGTGTCTTTATGTGTGTGTGTGTTTATTATTAGCATCGACCGCGCTTACCGGCTGGTGGCCATTGGAAAGACGTCAGTCTTAGTGCGGTTGGAAACACAAGACACTTCTATCTGCCATGAACTGGGACCCCGTTAGGGGGCAGCATGGGGGAGGCTAAACTATCCTTCGAAAGACAGAAACGGCTGCAACAGAAGAAAACTGGACGCGTCTACCAAGGCTATTACCTTGTACTCTAATTCGTTTAGGAGTACTTTCACCATTCATTATCCTCCTTGTTTTCGCTACCATCATTCTGATAATCATTTTGACAACAATCTCTGGGCAGTTCTTCCCTAGCCCTGTTTTTTTGGGGGGGGAAGGTCATCTGGCTCAAACCCTTTGCTCTCTTCCACTCCTCCTCCATGTTTTCCTCTTCCATCGTCGTCTTCGTCCTCCTTTCTTCCCTTTCCCTTTCCCTCGTCTCCGTCACTCCCTAAAGAATTACCCTCATTACTATCGTTGTCGCATAGATCCCAACCGATTGGCCCTGGTGGAAGTTGGTCGATCAGTAGCCCATGACGTGTGTGTGTGTGTGCGTGTTTTTTTTTCCGGGGGGGGACTTTAATTTCTACATTGTTACGTCAGGGGCACTGCTGCTGTCGATACAAACTCTGCCGTATGCATAGGGGGGTCAATGATTATGTTTCGTGAACAAAGCCCCCTATACTAATTCCAATATAAAACACAAATCGAAATTGCCGCCCTGGAGGGGGCTATGTGTCCGGATTTTTTTTCACATAGACCCTTGGTCGACAGGAAAACGAGCAGCGTGAAGCCACTGATCATTGATACTATTTGACCTTTTGAGTATGGACGTGTCCACGGACGTCCGCGGACGTCCGAGGATGTGCCCGCAGGCGTCCTTGGACACCGGAAAGATGCCCGTGAAAGATGCGCGTGAAAGATGTCCGTGGACAAGTGCATGGTCGTCCACGGACAAAATGTAGGTGGACCAAGGACGGTGGTCCACGTCCACCGACGACGACGCGTCCACCGACGTCCATGGACACGTCCACGACAAGGGGGGGGATAGGCCCGGGGAAATAATCAGAGGCGTTCGGCGGGCCGCCGCCGCCGGAGACACCCTCCGGAGGGGCCTCCCTCCTGAGGGAATTTTTTTGGGTAAATATACAGTAGTAGTAGTAGCACGCGCCATTTGCGTCACTCTCTGCCGTAAGTTCAGTGCACACGGGCAACTTCAATGTCTTTTTGGCGGCCCTTGTGCCGCTACTATTGACTGCTGTTCCGATGTTTCGTTCTGGTGGGTGAGTGTGTCTGCTTCGGGAAACACCCATCAAAATCAGCTGACACACATTGCGGGAGGGAAAAACTAAAGTAAAAATGCTACTTGCATTTGTGGAAGAAAAGGAGCACATAAAAAACGGGATGGGATCATTAGAAAGTGCCACCATACTTTTCTTGCAAACAAGGAATTCCCATCTTGTTGCAACACAATAACATCTCTCTGTTTCTGGCACTTACTGAAGTACCTTATCATCCGGCTCAACCGCGCGTTCCCGAGATCCGTCACTTCGAAATGCGAAACTTATCCATGATGCTGCACAGCAGGTGGCGGCTTCCTGTCTGCTGAGATAGGAAACAATGCGGTCATCGTTGTGGGGCCATCATTTTGCGCAGGCCTGCTGAGCTGCCTCCACGAGAGTGCGGCAGCCAGCCAAACAGCAGTCAATGCCACTTGCTTGAAATTGTTTGAAGCTGTTTTTCGAGTCTAACGAACGTGTTTTCTGTCCATGCTGTTGTGTTTGGTCGCCACCAAATTTCATGATTCAAGAAAGTGTACACCGAAAGCAACCAGCTTGCACCATCAGGATTGCAAAAAAGCCAAGCAGATTTCTAGACCCTAACCTCGAATGCTTGGCCAGGCTGGACAGTACAAAGTCTCACCCGAGGCACCGCCGAACCACCGACCAAAATGTTGATTTTTTTGCGCCGACGTCTGGACTGACGTCTCTGTTCACGTAGGGAGGGGGCGACAACAATTTTGTCCTTAGTACAACAAGCCTTACGTTCTCCTCCTCACTCCTTCCCTCCCTCCCTCCCTCCCTCCCTCCCTCCCTCCCTCCCTCCCTCCCTCCCTACCTCCCTACCTCCTCACGGTCCTGTTTTTTTTTCATGGACGGACCTCGTTGTTCCTCGCCTTCCGTCTTCTGGTTCATCTTCTGCTGGCCTTCTTCGGCTAGATGGATGAGTGTGGGAGAGTTCGCCATTTTGTTGCTGTGGGTGGGAGCCATGGCCTCTCACTTCTGGCAGGGTGCATACCGCAGCATACAGAGGTACCACGTCGGCACCGGCCCCTGCCCTGACGATCCCACCTCCAAGTGCTTCCTCGACACCCGGGGCGACCCCGAACCTGCCGAAACAGCCGGCCAAAATAGGTACAGGAAGCCTTGTCAGTTAACGTATTGGCGCTTGGTCACCTGTGTTGTCCCTCATATATTAACAAAAAGTTTATCGTTCATTCAGACCTGGTGCTTACCAGTTAACTACAGGGTATTCATGTTTTTTTTGTCGCTCTTCTCCACCTGACGGAAATCTCGGCGTGCACGGGCTGCCTATCGTTCTCATATGCAAGTATCACCGTCTCCTTCTCCCTCTGGCTTACCCGCCCTATCTGGCACACGCGCCCGCCCACGCGCCCGCTCCGTCCGGTATACGCTACCCACATGCAGGCTGTCTGTCATCGCCGCGTACTTCGGGTTCGCGGCCTCCTGCCACTTCGCCGTCATCCTCATCCCCGTCGCCCGCGACAGCAAGCTCTGGTCGGCCGTCGGGATCCCGTTCGAGCGGGCCGTCCTCTACCACGTCATCGCCGGGCACCTGGCCTTCGCCACCATGTTCCTGCACGCCTTCCTCTTTCTGTCGTCCTGCGTGTGGGAGAACGGCTGGAGACACGCGTGGGAGGTGTCCACCCTCCAAGCCAACGACGACTACGGAGATGTGGACGTCCCCATGGGGTGGGCCGCGGGGCTGTGCGCGCTGCCCATGTGGATCACCTCCGTCAACTACGTCCGTCGCCGCTGGTACAGCCTGTTCAAGGCCAGCCACTGGCTGTTCATCGGCGTCTTCATCTTCGGAGCCCTGCACGTGAGTGTCTTGATATCGCCCGTTTTCCCTCTTGTTCCTTCGGCGACACCATTCACACTCGAGAGTGAGTGTGCTCTTTTGGTACCGCACAGGGAGATGGCCAGCAGATTCCCCGGTGGGACGACCGGTCAGACCCCCCCTCTTGTTTCCGAACAAGTTGCTTCATAGATTCCGAGTAATTCGTTGCCCCAAAACGACGGATCACAGCAGTCCTGACGAAGAGTTGAGGCATGCATTGTGGCCCAACATGATTGCGTGCTACCCAAGCTGCCGTAAAACTGCCAGTGAAGGAATCACCGGTGCGATCGGTTTTTAATCCTTTTAGCCCTGGGCTTGTTTCAGCATCGATACCTTCCGGTATGTACGTCATTGAATGAAACACGGCGCCCGAAACGACGACTGCCTGTGTGTGTTTTTTCGCACACACGTGTGAGAACTTCCATCCACGTTTTTTATCGCTAAGTCAGATATATTTTGGAATTGGTTGTCAAAGTCTCGTGAAGCCCAAGCTCTCTTCCCGCCGCGGTAGTTTTTATTCTAGCCGTGTCCCGCTCGTTGTTGTTCTCGCCGTGATGTTCCTGCCGCTTCTCTCCGAAACAAGTGGGACACCAACGCTATCTACTTCGGTGGAGGTCTGGCGCTGTACATCATGCACGTCATGTCAAGGCTTTCCGCGTGGAAGAGGTGAGCACGTGCAGTGCTACTGCTATCATACATGCATGCACTGTTGGGCGGCGTTTTATTTGTATTCTTGGGTCCCTCGCTGAGTGATTGATCAGACTCAAGTTCACCTTCTCAAATCGTGGGGGTTCTACCAGTGGAAGTCTCGTCCTTTGGTTTTATCAACGGTCATGTCGGTATCGGTTTGATGAGGGGAACACAAGCGGGCGGTATTGCCTTTCAGTGGAAATTTTCTTATTTTCGGCGGTAGCGGTTTCACATTTTTGGTGGTAACGATTTGGTGAGGTGGTAGCACTAAACTATGCATATGGCCACACGTTTTTCGTCGGTGATGCCATATGGCAGAAATGGTTTGGTGACGGTAGGCGGTTTTGCATTGATCGGCGTTAAACATGTTGGCGGAGGTGGTAAACTCAAAAACTGTCGGCCAACTGTTGCAGGGTGATGTCTTCACGGCGGCGGTAGAACCCCCGACATTATCATGGTTTTGAATGCGTCATGTGTGTGTCTTTATTGGAATGCATCGACCCAGCAAAACGGCTGACCAATGAAAATACGTCAGTCTCAGTGTGGTTAAAAACACACAACACTTCTAAATGCCATTATCTGGGACCCCCGTGAGGGGGCGGCATGGGGGAGGCTAAGCTATCCTCCGGATGAAAGACAGAAGCGATAGCAACAAAAGAAAACTGCACGCGTCTACCAAGGGTGCTACCTTGCACTCGAATTCGTTTTAGAGTGCTTTCACCATCATCCTCCTTGCTTTCACCACCATCATTCTCATCATCGTTTTGACAGCAACTTTTCGGCAGGTCTTCTCTGGCCCTGCGTCGTTGGTTGTGGTGAAGGTCATCTCTGTGTGTGTGAAATTACCCGTCGACAAGATGCCCTCCCGTCGACCATCTCTTTTTGGGCCTATGTGCCACGTATTTTCTACCGTCAGGTGGCGCTACTGGAACCGCTGGTTAAAACCTGCCGAGAGCCCCAGCCCCACGAGCCTGCTCGACGTGCACACCACCGAGAACTACACCCGCCTGGTCCTCAAGAACCCCAAGTGCGACGAGCCAGCCAGAGGAGGGTCGTTCGTCTACATCAGCGTGCCGGGTGCGCTTGGAACCGACGAAGCCCACGCCATGTCCGTCGCCCTTCGCGGGAGCCCCCCCCCCTCCTCTTTCAAGACCAGCGTGGCCCCCTTGTCAGTACCGCAGGAGGAGATTTTCACGCTGTACGTCAAGGACCTGGGGCCGTGGACCAAGGCCCTTCGCAGGGCGGCCGGCAACGTTGCTGACCCCGGGGCGTTGCTGGTGGACGTGGACGGGTTCTACAGCCAAGTGGCATCTTTCAACACCATGATGAAGAGAGGCGCATCTCGCGTGGTTATCATTGCTGGCGGGTCTGGCGTAACCTCCGTGATGGGCTTCATCCAGGTGCAAAGAAATGGCAAACTAAGTTTTGTGTGTGTGGTTTGTGATGTGTTTTGTTGGCGAACGGAGCTAGATTGCCCAACAGGTTGCTTCACTGAAGTACGGGACCTTGATCGTTGTTGTACGAAGGTCGCTTGCGGCCGGAATTTCACCGCTATGGGGACCGTCTTGCTGCAGACAGCACAGCTTGTTATTTTCAGGGTTGGGGGGCAAGGCAACGAATGGCGAATGGATCTCCATCGTTTACCTGGTGGCTGGTTGAGGCAACGAGTGGCGAATGAATCTCCACCAGTACCCTGTGGCTGTTTGATGGCCGGGCGAACATTCCAACGCATGTATGCCAATTATCTTTTAGGTGGGGGCACGCTTGTTTCGTGGTGCTTCTGCGTGTTTCTGAAAGAGTAAACAGGTGCTTGGTGGCTTTTGTACCACTTCCGGCGTATAGCGACTAAACGTCGTGTTCCAAGTCCTTCTTCGTGCAGGCCACCAAAACAGCGCCAGCTCCCACCTTCCTCTCTCTATGCATCGAACCATGCCCATGAAGTACAATACCGCGTTAACGTCGCCCTATTCTTCTTCATCTCCTTCCTCGTTTCCTGTCCGTGTCTACTATGCCACGCGCAGGACTGGTGTGTGGTGGCTGCGGCCGGGTCGGTGGTGCCCGAGGTCCACCTGGCATGGTGCTGCCGTACCATGGTGGAGATGCAGCTCGTCGGCGAATCCATCCCGTCCATGCTCGCCTCCGCCGGAAGCAAGAAGGGCTCACACTTCACGCTGTCGCTCTACTGCACCAGCAAGGTCAGAGCATCGATACAACCGCGCGACAAAAGCGTCAAGTAGCCCCGTCTGTACCCAGGAAGAATAACTTTTTCCGGTACTGATGTCCTATCTTCTCGTTAATTCTGTTATTGGCTCGCCCGCGGGTGGGTAGGTGGGTGCAACGTACAGGCAGGGTCTGGCATCGATGCAAAGTTCGTTGTGCGTTGTTGAAATGTTTATTTTCGCCAAACCCTCGCAGGCACGTCTATATAGAAAAATCAAATTTGAAGTTAAAATAATGTTGTGGGCATTTGTGCAATGAACAATTGCAGAGGAAGTCGCCTAGGGAATGGCTATCACGCCCCCAGCACCGTTTCACGCTGTTTATTGCACCAGGTATCCAACGTGTAGCGGCGATAAGAGCGTTATTAAGATGAGCGTACTGTACTGTAGTACTCAGCTCACGACACCCCCCTCCCTCAACGAATATGCCAACTTTACCTTTTGGGTCAATGAATCAACTACTGCTGTGCAGACCGGTACGGACCCTCTGAGTGTATCATGGCCTGTGAACTGCAACGCCTATGGCGGCCTCTCCATGGAGCAAGTCATGGGCAAGAACCCCATCGCCGCGAGCCTCAACCACAGCGTCCGCATCCTTCTCGCAGGCACGTCGGCCGGCCTTTCGCCAAGGAGTGCAGACATTTCCCCATACGCGTTCAAATCGATTGCTCGGTGTTGTTGTTTTTTTGTGTGTAGCACGGCATTCCTCTTGGACAGTCGACAAAGTGTGTGCGTTGCCCTCGGTAAACGCGTTGCAGTTCTAATAGCGGACGGGGCGTGTCGCCGGACTCACACTGTTTGTTGACGTAGTGCCTCCCTTTTCCTTGCTTCTTGTTGTCGTCGTCATCATCTGTTATCTCTATTGTTCCTGTTGTCAACACCTGGCGACAACGACTCCCCACCCGCTCGGTCTGATGTGCCGCTGCTATTTGTGTCGAGACAGGCGGTGCCGCGTACGGCGCGTACGTCCTGGGCACGTTCGATGTCGCCCGTCGTGGGGAGAGGGGGTATCACTCAGGTGGCACCCGACTGGTGCTCATGATCGTGTGCATCGTCAGCGCTCTCATCGTGTACGACTGGTTGGCTTACTTCGTCCTAACGTTCCCGTGCAAGGACAGCGGGTTTTCCTCGGCTCAGGTAGAAGCGCTATGCGCGTGTTTTCCCGCCATTTTTTCCCTTCTGTTGTGTTAGAATCTTGTCAGTCTGCAACATTAGGACTTTGGCCATAGTCGCGGGACGTACAGAGTTTTTGAGGGTTTTCAATTCACCGGTTGTTGCTGCCTTCTTTATTAATACCGTGGACAACGAAAGCATTTTGACCCTCTAAGTCAGAGGTGGATAAACTTGTGGTAGTTTTGTGTTTGCACCACCCGGAGCAGCATTCGTACGAGGATTGATGGTATGCCCAGCACTTTGAAGGGCTTGCGGTAACGGGAATTCGGCACGGTCCCACGCATCGTCCGAGGGATACAGGGGTTATCTCAACCATGTCTATTATGCGTGTGTGTTCGTCCCCATCTGTTCTGGCGCCGGTTTACAGGCGTTTCGGCGTACATACCTACCTGACGTATCAGCCCGGGTTACACAAGAGGAAGGTCACGCAGGATTTTCCCATTTTGTGTTTATGTTTTATTGCCCTACCCTTCCCCCTCCGTCGACAATAATACATACCGTGGTACTCCGGAGTAAAAAATATCAGAAATGCTATTGTACAGTAGTACCCGTTCGAGATAACACCGCAGTCGAAGGGGATTTATTTGTTGAATGAAGTCCGGTTGGAGCCTAGGCCTATTTCGAGTGGGTTCTCTGTTGTTGCTTGCTTCTTCTATGGCCGCGGCGCGCTCGATCGTGCGTGCCATAACTTGTACAAGACACCAATGAAACCAACCAAACGAATTCTAACGCCTCGTACACCGCAACATGTAAAATCCGGCGCGAAATTCCAGACACACCCGAGCTATGCATCGAAGGCGGCGGTGATTCACAACGAGCCCAAGCAGGACGCCCTGGAGTCCTCCGCCACCACCGCCTACGACGTCCTACGGCAGCGCGTTCCGACGAGGGCCTTGCTCGTCCAGGAGGCCGAGCTCGCCAAGAAGAAGGGCCACCGGTCGGTCAAGGTGCTCACCAGCGGCCCTCAGGCCCTCGTCGACGGCGTCTTGGCCGACGCCCGCGCCGTGGATTGGCAGCTGTTCGACACAGAGGAACTCTCGTACCAGTTTTGAGTCGTCAACTCCCCCAGTTGAAACGAACCAACAGCAGCAATGTGTCTAGATCAATAGGCGGTCCAAGGTATCCCAACCATGCATGCAGCTGACTCACTCAGTGAAAGCCACACGTACGTACGTGTGGACTACACCTAACTAAACGCGCAGACTACACGAATTGTGTAGATGTGCTGCAGTAAACTAGACATATTACGTACGACCGTCCGGATGTTGGGCTGGAGGAAACAAGCGTCATCATTGCCTTAAGTTTTTTCGTCGACTGCTTGTAGTGGATTGATCGCAAAGTTCGGGTGATTTGTTTACATAGCACCATCCAAGATTGCACCATCACGCCAAACCAGGTCATCCTGTGGCTGTGTTCTAGGTGTTGGCGGTTATGTAAAATACAGTTTCGCGGCGCACACGCCCTCCTGTTTTTCGCTTTAGACACAGAAGCCCGTGGCACCCAAATGGTCTCGTGTCAATCCTACACCCCGCGCCTTGGCCAGGGAGTTAGGGAGAGCTGTTTGAGGCATGGCTAGCCAGGAATGTAGCTATTCTGAGGTTGAGGAAGTGGGCTGCTCAGGCGGGAAGTGATACGATAGGATAGGCAGGGAAAACATTTTTGAACCGCCGTTGGCAAAGTAGGAGGGAACGATTGGGCGCCGGTGATCGGGCCTGTGGGAACAATGCTCCGTGAGGGCGCTTGGTCAATGGTCTACCCGTTAAGGCATGCATAGGATAGTCAGGAAATATTTTTGAACCACCGTTGACAAAGTAGGAAGGAACGATTGGGCATAGGCGATCGGTCCTGTGGGAACAACGCTCCGTCCTTGCGAGGATGCGTGATAAATTATCTAACCGTTAACGCATTTAAAACATGAGTACGCCCCCCCTCCCCCAGTTTGGCCGCTGGAGCTATGCATGTAAATAGTGGAACTTGACGATGTAGACTATGCATTCATCCCGGCTTCAGACGGTTGTTGATTCTCCACCTGTTTCACCTTGTTCAAAGTTTTCTCTTGTTTCTTGGGCGGGATATACTCGGGATGGGCGCTTTTGTTTGTTTTTTGTTTTGTACTTTCGACGCAACAGATTATTCTCTGCACAGAGAAGGAAAATCTGGATAGAGTAGCAATGAATCATAGCGTCAGTTTTTGTTGATTGTGTTCCGTGTTCCCTTGTCCTATTGTGGTCCTCCTTTGTTTCGTTTCGTTATTTCGCTGCTGTTGGCGTTCACCATGCAGTTGTTAGTTAGCGTACATAATTGATTATTGTGTTGTCGAGTACTGGTGTACAACCATGTAGCTTTCCGTTGGTCGCGACGGCTGGAGTATGAGGCTACGCAGTACAAGTCCATCATTGTGACAATATCAACGCGACAAGGATCGTCCGGATTGCCTGTCGCAAGGTCTCCGTGTTAGCGTTGGTTTATATTGGTTTGTTGGGAAAGACTATGTAGTTATTTTCGACGTAATCAGCGCTTGGTTAGAAGGGCCTTCGTCAACCGAAGCATAGCTTGTTTCAGCACGCCACTACAATATGAAAAAATACGTACGTTTGTCGCGATAAAGACTCGGGCCTTCTGGGACGAAACGATGGCGACGAGGGCTTCTCTGCAATTGCCGAGCGAGGTGTATCGGGAGTGGAACGCGACGCACGTGCATCGATATGGCATGTAGAGTTGGTTGCGCGGAATCAGTTTCAATTTTTCGTTTGTTAAAAACCGCCTCTAATACTTCGTATTCTCAGACCCCCCCCTCTCACTGCCCCCGATGTGATGATGGCGGTGTTTCCTCAGTGCCGTTGTCATTGACTGTGTTGTATTGATCTGTTCAATAGGTTTTCCCGGTGGAGGGATGCTTCAATCACCCACGCGAATCGTTGAGGATTTATTTCTGGTCCATTTCTTTTAGGTTTCTTTGATTTGTAGAAAGGTGTGTCCCTGGTTTGGGTAGGGAGTCTGAGACCACGGAAGGAAGGCATCTGGGTCAGTTGGACCAGTACGGATATTAGAAATTACTGAGCGGAAACAAACGTTGAATATCGATGAATTTTCATCTCTGGATGTAGAACGTGCCTCCCGAGGTAGGAAGCGAATGCTGTATGTGAACATTTCATCTTCTCGAAGAAGGTACAAGTAACAACGTGTTCCTAGCAGCATGTGACGTCGAAAAAAGTGTCAACAAGTCTGCTTGTTTTTCCTGCCAGAATTTAGCAATGTATTGAGAATGGTGCGGTCGAGACATATACACGCCATGTGGCTTCTTACCCGAAACACTTGGTGAGAGGCGCGGTTGACTTTCTTGTGGTGGCCTACCGACCGACAAGTTGGTGGTGACGTACGAAATATTTGCGTTCGGGCCAATAGCAGTTCATAACGGCACTTACGTACCCGATGGTGTCTGGGTTGATTATTATTAGGAGCGCACGTACGTATACGTTTAGTTTTGCTTGCCCCCTCCGCTGCAGAAATCACTCATTCGAATAATTGCATATATGTATGGTTGGCCGTCTTGCCACTTATTCGGCCAACCTACAACGTAGCACATGGAACAAGAGTGCATGAAACGCCATAGTCACGAACGAACAAATTTGTAGGCAAATGGATACCGGTATTTCCCCGGCAGGCCAAGCGTCCGTCGTTGGGAAACTTCCGCCGTTGGAAACTTGACACTTCTTGAGTTCATTCACTTGGCCATACATAATCGATTCCTATAACCGAACTCGTGTATGCTACCAACTAACTGCACGGCACAACAACGAAGCAGACGTGTCCTGGTACTGTATGATCGATCGGGCCGATACTGTCGCTGTGGTATTCCTCAGGCCCCTCGTACTACCGGAGTTGTCACGGGTGCATGCAGTTTGTAATTTACATCCCCCCAGACAAACTACAACAAACGGTGATTTTGCCTTATTGTAGGTCCGTACAGTCCGGGCCCCACGTGTGCACTCTCCATCTACTTGAACAGGATCAGTAAGGTGTTTCGCTTTGTGAAGGAAACAGAACGTACACATCGTTAGAATAATCGTGTTGCTTCGACCCTTTGTATCATTTCGCTCTCTACCACCACTACTGCCTGCACACAGCGAGAGGCTATGGTCCCACCACCAGCTTATTCGCAACCAAGCCTCACATAGAAGTAGTATTATTTTTATCGATAATATTGGTGGCTGTTAACTGTTCTGTGCTTGCTTTCTGTTTGTGTTCTGTGCTTGGCTGTCTCCCTCTGTGATTCAGCGGTCTTCGGATAAACACAGTATTGATTGCTCGAACGGCTCCATCCACTCCTCCTGCTGAAAGTTCGCTCACATCCCATCTATCTTCAACATCTATGAGATCTGCCCCGTATTATGATGCGACTGCGTGTGGCCCGGCTTTCACGTGTTGAACATGTGAATATATGTGCGCGTGTACAGACTCCACGGGTCTGTTCTCATTGAAGGTTCTCAGGAAGAATCAAGTAAATTGTAACTACTGTACTGTACCAAATGCCGTTCCAACCATCCAGTGCAGCCCATCAACACGCTACGTTTCATTCAGCGGTTGTTCATTCGTGTGCCTATATTAGCACCGACCGTGCTAACCGGGCGAACAATGAAAATACGTCAGTCTGTGCCTGTTTGCGCGGGGGTGCGTTTTGTGAGAAAGAGCTTGCAATAAGGGGGGTGCACGGAAAAACAATTCGTCCACAATCTGGGAGCCCACGTGTCTTCCACAGAACCTGCCGAAGACAGCAAACTGCCCCCTCCCATTGTATTCTGTGATCTTTCTATCCAGGAGTTTAACACACACCCAACCGCCCGCCAACTCTTCCCCACAACACCAATCTTTGCTCATTCCTACAGGATGCCCCCAAACACAAGCATGCTCCGGATTTCGGGTGCTACACGCGCGCCCTCGCCCTCGACATCAAGAACGCTGGATGCGGTAGGATGTCCGTGCGCACACGCTTTCATAAGGGGTCGATCTTGGCGACTTTCGTCATGCCTCTTCTGGCCCTCTGTCTGGACGAGGCGTTCGTTCCCGACTTCGCGCTTGCGTCATTTGATCTATCTGTCTATCGGTGCTTTGCGTAGAGGGTGTACATCCATGCATCGTTATAGCTGTGTGTTGTGTGTGTTCCAGCCATACCCATCTTCACATCACTGCACAGCGAGTGATACGCGCACGCAAGCCAGAGGATTTACATAGTTGGGGACCTTGCGAACGCCACTAGCAATGTCTTGGCAAGGATACCTTCCAATATTGAGAAGAAGACAATTGTTACTTTGCCCTTGCATACGTGCCTGCTTGTGTGTGTGATTGTTTCTGGTGTTGTGTACAGGGCGTTGCAATCGTTAATGGGTACCAGGTTCCAAGGGAGACTACGTCAGTCACCGCCCCAATGACATGGCTTACTATATTGGCAGAGCCACAGCCCGTACCTACCGCCAGCTCATGGCAAGTTAGTTGGTGCACTTCTTGAACTTTCGGAACGACCTGGTCCGTTCCTCACATCGTCCAATGCAACATCTTTATCATGCGTTGCAGCTTACCAACCACAACCTTCTCAACGCCCCCCCCCCCTCGCCGTGTTTCCCTCAGAACTTGTCGGGTTGTCAACCACACTTTTACTTGTTTCTAGCAGAGCAGTACCACTAACCCACCCTACCTCTGGTGTTTGTCGATCGATCGATCCATACCATACCCCAGACGACTTTCCTGAACAACATTTTTCGGCATCTCAACCGCGGCCAAACCCCGATGGACCAACTTGTCACCGTGGTCCAGGGGGAAGCCAGAGGCTTCTTCGGCAATGACAAGACGCTCAGGATCGCAGAACGCAAGTTTGACTACCAAACTGAAAGAAGACAGGAGTACACGTTCTTCTTGGTGGTGCGATCCCGTCTACAAGTATTAGTTATGCTTACGCGTGGTGACTTGAAATGCTGTCTGTCCGGCTCTTCATTGTACCAGTCGATTTTGCGTTGCGTGCTTGACAATTACGAGCATCCACTCATCACCAATGTCTCCACTTGTGCCGCCCCTATTATCGCGAACTCGTCCGACAACGCCATGAAGTCTTCCCAGTGCATGTTGAATCTCAGCCCGAGTGATTGACGATTCATGTCGACCCAGCGGATGCATTCCTCCAGGAAAATCCACAACGCAAGAACCATTGGTTTCTTGCCGTGTTTGGGCAGGGCACGCCTGGGTACGGCGACCACGTGAACACCAGCCAAAGCTTCCAACCGGCGGTGGACTACATCACAAACGGGAACAAGAGGTACCTGGCGGGAATCAAGAAGGGCAATGTCACACCGGAGAAGGACGGCAGGACGGACGTCTGGTGAGTGAAACAAGGAGGGTCTGTGCCTACAACACGGTACTTTTTTGCTTGCTGGCACTGCCCTAGCCTGTCTAATTCATGTCGCCGACGTTCCCCTGCGTACTACAGTAGTTGATGCCAGGGGTCGAAACTATACTCGAACGTCTAAACCCACACTACCACGCGACGTGCATCAAGTCAGGCGCTCCAGCTATGTTTGGATATATCTAAATTGTTGTGAAACAGAACATTTAGTGGGATTAAAGGCCGCAATCCCGTGTTGTTACTACTGTGCCACGGCAGTATATACTTCGTTGCGGCTCATCGGTGCAAGTCCATTGACATCGAGTACATGAAGCAGCTCTCCAAGGTACTGTCGAGACACCGCCGGGGTAGCTACTTTAGGTTGTTGGCCATTACTAATAATATGAGGTTGGGGCAACATGTAGTCAATGGGCGAGATGCGGTCGCCAAGCAGTTGCATCTTGTCTGGGCTACTGTGCTGCGGTCGCCTCGCGGTTGCTATCACGAGGCATGCCGTCTGCACGTACCGTGCAAACAGAATTGTGAGTAATGTGAGTTTTGTGATTGATATGGCATGCGACGGTAGCCTGGTTATCGCGGGCGGTGACATTACACCCACTCCGCCTTTGCAGGCTGTGGCAATAATTCCAGTGATCGGTAAATCCGACAGCATGACGGTGGACGAGATGAAATACTTCAAGACGGCCATCGTCGACCTTGCTGCTCAAGACAATGGGTTCGAGTTTTTTCCAGAATGAATAGCCTATAGCCTTGTCTCAGCCCAGTGGAGACTCCATATGATGACTGTCCACAAGTGATTCCTGTTTTGCCCTCTTTCACCCGCGTTCTGGATGGCAGAACATCGCAATGAACGACGAATCTTACGCGTTTTGGTCCCGGCGTTTACTTCTATGGAGACGTTTGCTCTGCGCTTTAAGGCGTTCGCTCCGTGCTTCAAGGTACTAACTACTCTTGCCCGAACCTTTCCCCCTGCCCAATCAGAGACGACATGGAACGAATGCCTCACAACCCTAAGGTTTACTGATACACCCAACTGGCTGGGAGAGAGGCAGCCGCCCCCTTTCGCCGTGATCTCGAGCCGGGTGGACGACCCCCACGGGAGCACCATTCGTAACCCTGCACGTAGGTAGTTGGTGTGACTGCCGAGCCCTAACCATTTCGACGAAAGTCAGCCAAGGGGGTCGCTCATCGATGTATTCAAGTATGTAAACCATTCTCCGACATCTCATCTTAGACGTCATGTTCACCAATGTACTTTTTTCATGAGCAATACTTTACTAACATTTTTGAACCTTTGCGTCTCCCGAAACCTTTCCGAACAACAGATACCCGTGAGGCACCTGCCACGTCATGGACACGGCGCGCAGCGACAATTCCTACCTCCAATGCCTTCTGCTGGAGGTTGGTTTCCAGGACATTAAGGACGCGATGAGGGAGCGCCACAGAGCTTTCGTCATGGAGCAGGTACTACACGAGCACGTACTGTATTGATAGTACCCCCAGATTCTTGAAAGGAAGCCCACTACCTGGTAATTGCTCAAGGTTGCACTTACCTGTGAAGCCAAACACGTTTTCCAATCGTCGGCGATTCACTTCACCTACACGAGCTGGGTTTTCTAGGGTGAACCACAGGTACAGATAAATATTGAGGAGAGATGAAACCGTGGAAATACGGTCAACAATCCAAAATATGTGGTTCCAAGGTTCATACATTGCGCAATGGAAACGAATATTATTATTATCATCCACCACCATACCAAGAAGTAGTTGACATCTCGCCATGGGAGGATCGCGAATATTACGTTTGCCTATTGGTCAGAAAATATCCCCTGTTCCTCATGTCTATTTTTCTTGCGTGTTCCTTTCCAGGGAACGCCGATAATTGAGAGGGCCGGCGACTTTGCCAAGGGCCTTCCTCGCCGGGCCTCGAACGGCGCTGTCGATGTTGCTCGCAAGGCTCAGGGCCGCCACATGTCCGTCCTGGCAAGCGCGATGGCGACCTTTTCACCCTGCTCGCGGTGCTGGTACGCCTTCGTTGTGACGCGCGACTCTGTGGTGCATGTTTCACGTGTTGTGCCGAATGCCTATCCGATTGTGGATTATTAAGAGGGTCCTGATCGTCACATGGTAACGGCGTTGGGGTGGCTCCTCTATCTCTCAAGTCTTCCTGTTTCTCCGTCTTTTCTTGAAGCACCGAGCACTCTTAGTATTCGTACGTCGTTGGCTCGTCAACGTCACAGCCCCCTGATCTTGCGGAGATGGATCGACTGCCCTAAGCCTGACGAGGATCCGACCGACTGCTTCACAGACGTTGACAAACTTGAAAAGGTACACAATAGGCCATCGCGTTTGGTGCACACGATGGGTTATTCGGTCAATCATCATGTCGAAAGACCCGGTTGCAAATTGTTGAAGCCATGTACCAGCTTATCGGCACAGACTGGTATCTACAGTTGAAAGAAATCCTGCCCTGGACGCTTGCATCGACCCTGAAGGGGAATGTTTTGTTTGGGGACGCAATAACATGCACCACAGCGTTGCACCCCACAACGAAGGCATACCAGCACAACCGCGAGCACGGCGAAAAGCGCCGCCTTCACGAGAGCCAGGGAAGACATGCGGCGACCCGAACCGTGCAAGCAGCGGCCCTCTCAGGAAAAGGCCTTCCCTGTAAACGAACAAGCACGAAAAAACATATATGAGAAAGAGGGGATGTCAATAGCTGACTCAATACTTTTTTGTAAACATGGCGATCCTTCCCTGTCGAGATGCCGGCCGCTTCATTGAATACGATGGTGAACAAACATAAAACACACCCAGCCACTACATATATCTATTGCTCTAACAGTACTGGTGGCATATGTTTCTTGCTCTGCTGATTCCTTGACCGACGGTCTTGTGGATATGAAGAGAATCCTGGTCGCCAAGCGGTAGCAGAGTAGTTGCGGCGGGGCCAGCTCCTCTCTCTCAACTGTTTTTCTCCGATGTTTTTTGAAGCACCGCACCCTTAGTACTCACACGTCCTTTGCTCGTCAACGTCGTACTTGAAAAGTATCGCTAGAATGACTTCCATACCCGTTCTTTCGCCCCTGCTGCACCTGAACACCAGAAAAAGTACAGTTGGTGAACAAAGCCTTGAGCTCCGGTCACCCGTAACACGCATAAGGCACAAGATTCGCTTTACTTGATGGAGCATGGGATCGAGGCCGGGTCACCCATTTGCATCTCAACGCCTAGCGCAGCCTTGTGTCGTGGTGGCGGTTGGACTTGTGAGTGTAGGCAATTGCACCCTATTGTAGGTGCCTGACCTATTGAAGGGTTGACGAAATTGTGTGGTTCGAGAGTGCAAGGACCAAAACGATAACATGCAGTGATGCCCGTTGGAACAGAGTGAAAAGGAAACCCCTACTAGGGACGTTACTCTCTGCATCGTAAAGTAGTACTACGGTAGTGGAGAGCGCCCGTCCGTGAGAATGCTAGAGTAGGGATCATGGATGGGTGAAACTCCAAAACCCTGTTAGGCATTCGTACAAGGAGGAAGTGTTTGATATGATGAAGGCGGAGCGGGACGTTTGTCTGTGTTTTGGCTGGCGCAAAGCTGCGCAACATAAAATTTCGACGGAAAATGACGTCGTTATCAACACTGTTGCTGAATTGCAGACACATGCCCACAATGGGTATTCCTCTGTGGACTAGATTTGTCGTCGAATGTATTCACATGGCGTACCAGCTCTTACCGGGGTGGCATTCACTTGTTCCGTGTATTCTTGCTCTAAGTCATTGATCAAATAAGGGTAAGCCTTGGATTCGAATAAGGTGTCCAGCATCAGTCTGTTGTCCTACCCATGCTCCCCCTGTTGCCTTATTATCGCAACACATGGGATTTCCGATGCTGATTTGGACATCCCTGATTTTCAACCCACCTTGTTAGAAATGGGGGGTGCCGCTTTGACGTCGACTTCATTGTGGAGCTACTTCCGACCACGAGGGCGTGGAGCTCAGTCGGGTCCGGACAATGGAAGTGTACTAACTACATGGGGCGTCCCTCAGGCATCACATGAGTCACATGAGCTGGAGGCATAGACGCGTAGACGGAAGCCTGGGGGTTAGCGCATCCGCGTCCCCACGTGAGCAGCTCCACCTGGTGAAACTGAGACCGATAGTCCACCCGTCTGTGAGGTTCGAGGGTAGATTGGTCGAGGTAGAAATGACTCTAATACCATGAACCTGTAAATCTGCTGTATTAGGCATGAAGTATTCGGGGTATCCTGTGAGCTTGTCGGCTTCGGCTCTAGAGTGTTTCACACCCTGGAGGATGTCCGCTGAACACTGGTAGTTGGAATGCTCTAGGGCAAACCTACGTATGAACAACTCCATACTGAACTATCCACCTGAAGTGCGTAAGCAGGTTGTACTCCAACGGCATCATACACGAAGCGACGTGTTTGCTGTGTGTAGCGCGCCTGCTTTGTACGAACGCGCAAAGATCGAAATCCTTTGCCATACTTGAAGGGGTCATGCCCGCCGAATGTGAAACATATGGTTAGCCGGGATGCCCAATCAAACTATGGCATATGTGGTTCGACACAGCAAACGCATAGATGATGACCAGCTTCTAGTTCGTCTTTGTGAAACGCAGCCTGGGCCGTCCACAACCCGGGCTATCGTTCCATCCCGGCATTGAAGGGGTGCGAGGTCTGAGGTCTATCGACTACGGCATGTGTTTACATGAATGAGTGCACCCCTCACGTGATCAGCACTAGAATAGGGTGCTTGATGGCGGTCGTCCCGGTGACGCCGTGGGTGCCACCGCAGTTCACAACGTTCCCTTATCTCTTCGACGGCATACGGGCCCAGCATTGTTACACAGAAAATCCTGTGCGTGGATCAATTAGGTCAAGGAGAGCAAGACTGTCAGCCAATCATTGAGGGTTATCTACACGACATCGCGGCTGTCATTGTGGGCAATGATACAATAGACTCCAATAGCAAACGCCGGTGAAATGATATAAAAACAACCCTAAGAGAATGCATGCGCCGTCCGCATACACAATTTCATGCGTGAACGACACGAAACAACCCAAAGATGTACGTGGATCTATCACTTCCTCATCGGCATTGCCCAGCTCACCCTCGAGAGACCTTAAAAAACTTTTTTCGTCACAGGGTCTTGTGGGTGCCGTCACGAGCAATACGTACGTGAAAAAAATGTCGAAATCCATGACTGTAGCCAAACGTGATGACCGGTCAACTGAAATGGGCGGGGCAACCTCTGGCACTGTAGGTCTCGTCCCAGACGTGACGGCCTCGGTCAGCACCTCCGAAGTCTGCGAATAATGCCACCGATGTGTTGTTCACAAAAAGTACGGTAGTGTACTTTGCTGTGCACTGGACGGCAAATGACTCGACAATGAGTCACTCTCGCTGAAGATCCATTTCAAGCCATCCGCTGTCCGTACGTGGTCGAGGATAAAACCTACCGGCCCGACTAGGTACAGGAAGAGATACGACACGAGAGTCCCAAGAAATAGTGACACGCACCAAACCAAGAACACGCTTTGAAGGCACATGGATTGTTCCCCAGTAGGGGACCGCGTCGTTGGATATTTCGCACTCATTCACACCGATTTCGTATGATACCCCCCGATGGGTTGCCACCAACGGCACCTAACAGCATGCGAGCACCCAAGCTGCCCTGTCCTGGTATCGGTACAGCCGCTGTGGTTCTTTCAGCTGTACGTACCGGAGTTATCATAGGGTGTAGTACATAGCAGCCCCAAACAATATTTTTTGTTCGTGGTGCGTACAGTCCAAAGCAATCGCACTCGGGGTTCGTCAAATGCCAGAACAATTCGATTTCCGCGAGGAGATCGGAGTCCGGGGGTATTGCACGGGGGCGCAAAAAAGCGAAGGTCCGCACTCTGGCTGCAGACAGCTATATGCGTTGCTTCCACAGATGCAGTCTGCCAGGTATATACCATATGTATAGGTTGCAGACACCGCGCTGCCTGGACAGACTTTCAACGCTTGATCATTCTCCAGTAACGCGCCGAAAAGGTGGCGCGTTGGAACCATTTCGTCCACGGTTTTCCGGAAATGAATCATGAGATTCTGGTTTCCTCCTCATCGTGGAGTAAGAGAGGAAGGTTTATTATCGGCTCTGGGGGTGTGGTACGGAAAGTAAGCTACGGTGCCAGTGCCGGCCCACTCGTATGAAACACCAATAATAGGGTGCATGTTGCAGTGTCTCGTCGACTGAGCGCAGGCTATTGCTACGCTACCACATACAGTTTGGTAGACGCCGGCGGCTGAGTCCAATATCCCGTGATCCTATTCTTCAAGATCGGAGGATTTTTGCTTTGTAGAGCGGACCACATTGCCAGTTCTTTTTTGTTTTCAGGAACAGGTCTGGGTGTCGTCGTCTACCCATCGGAATCAACACCTTTCATGCTGTGCACGCGACCACCTGAAGCGGGGGAGGCTGATGGAAAATCTACGGTAACGTATTGGCCAGAACTACAACAATCACAGCGACCCTTTCCATGGTGGTCACCGTGATTATCGCCGCCTCTGGTTTTCATCTTGGCTGCAATCCATGCGAACCGTTACCATGTTTTCCCATGCAGCAAATGCTCTCCATACCATACAACTCGAACCAGCACCAATGGAAATGCTGCTACATACAGTGCTTCGGATTCCTGTTCACCTGTGTGTTTTCTGTCGCCTTCGAAGCAATCTAATCACGCACATCCACACCCCTACGACACGATTCAAACCTCGGCCGTTGATGTCTTCCACGTCTCGCCCGCGTGCGTGTTGAAGTGCTATGTACACGTAAACGCACAAGCAATTGCACGGGAAAAAAGGGCTGGAAAGGACGATATTTGCTCCGCCTCTGCCGAAACTCTCGGTTCCGAGTTCTGAACCTGATTCTGAACCATTAAGTACGCGCGCGAAGACCGCAATTCGTTCGGGGAGAGTCGGCCATGTTCGCGTGGAAACAGCGGCAGACACTCAGCGTTGGCTCCCTGGAGTGATATGTGTCATGGCGGGAAACAGGACGACGGTTGCGTTGGAAGTGGATGGAGAAGAAACGTTGGTGCTCCAATCAGATGCTCCAGGAGTGCTGCTGGGACGGGGAGGCCAGAGGCAAGTCTGAATCGCGTGGATGACCTATCGTATCGTCGTTTGCTAGGACGTAGATTCATCCTGGGTTGTGCAAAGCGTTTGTCTATGCACACCGGCGTACGTCCTCGGCCAATGTGGGTTGACTGATAGATGGGATTGTTTGGTAGCACACGGTGGTTATGCGCTTGATTTTGCCAGAGAGCTTGGTAGAGAGCAGCTGCCAGCAGTTTTTTTAATCACGCAGACACGGCAGAGCGAGCGTACAGCAGCACATAAGGTCGTGTCTAAATTCGTTTGAATTTTCACGTCGTCGTCTCGGACATTGTCGGCCTCGTCCCTTCTAGACAGCAATGAGTGGCGCCACATGATATGTTGCTCTCTCTCTCTCTCTCTCTCTCTCTCTCTCTCTCCCTCTCTCTCTGGGATATGGTGTGAGGCCTGGGTATCAACTCACACAGTCCAATACCCACACCCTCTCGGGGTTTGGAGGCGGGGCATTTGCGTACCTCTCTGGCCTGTGGCTGTGTATAGAGCCATAGAGCCAGTGTGGTACTACAGCATAGAGCCAGAGTGTCTTCACGGCTGATTTTGGCCAACGGTAGCATCGGCAGCACCGTCGCGGCACCTTCCTGTGGCGAACACACATGCATGCTTCTTGAGTGGGGAATACGTGGGACACGGTCGATAGGAGCGTTGTGTGGACTCATCCATTTGTGGCGACTCGGTGCTCAGGCCGTCTTGCGTGAACCACGGATGGAATGGTCGTGGTGTAGAACGTGCGAAACAAACAATTGACAACACTCCCTCGGCTCCGCGCCCCTTTTGACAATGCTGACGATGGTTGCGTATCTCCCCATCCACCGTTTCGGGAAATGTGGAGATGCGAGGTCAATGGTCTAACGACTACGGCCGGCTGTGAGGACCGTTTGGATCAATAGTATTTCTTGGCGATTCCATCTGAAATACTTCCAAGTGGCATCTCTAGTTAGCTCAGACGGTGCAGCCATCTTACGGTAACCGCGACTCCCGCAACTGTCTCCAACGACTTATCATCCCCCCACAGCTCGACGTTCCTGAGGAAGTACCTGACGGACGCGACGATCAGCCGCGAGCACGTCCGCGTGCAGGCTATCGCCGACAACGATGACGGCGGCGGCGACGGCGGCAGCGAGCGTGATACTGCTGCTGCTCCGTCAAGGGTGCGCGTGTCGGTCGTTGGGTCGAATCCTGTGCTCCTCGTCCGCCGGAAGGTGTGTTTGTGGCGCTTGGGTACAACATCCGATATGGAGAAAATGTGTGTGTGGGCGGTGTGTGTGCTGTTGGGGGCCCAAGTGCGGGCCCCCTCGAAATGGTATAGAGCTGTTTTCCTTGGAAACAAGCCGAAACCCACCCGATGCGAAAATTCTCTCTCACGTACCGCTAGCTGCCAGCAAAAGGGTGCGTTTGGTTGTATTTGTATGGGAATTGTGATGCGTCTCGGTACACACACGCTTCCGAGCTGTCGTCGCATGCCCGTCCACCGACCCACATCACTAATTGGAAATACAATTCGTCGGAATTGCCGCGTCCCGCGGACGTTGTGTTGCTGTTCCGGCTCCTTTCCGTCCCGTCCCACCCAATACCGTAAGCCGCCGGGTGGGAAGAGCTACATTCACCGAGGACAGAGCGCCGTGGCCGAAGTCGGCGACGGCTTCAGGTTCTGCCGGGGATTCGACAAGGTCGTCCGGGTGGTGACGGTACCCCAGCCGCCGCCGCCGGTGAGCAGCAGCCGACAAGAACGAGCGGGGTCCCCCGAAGAGGGAAACAGCGGCGACGACGACGAGCGTGCACGACAACCAACCCCTAGTAGTAGTGACGCTCGTGGTGTTGGAGGGCGCGCCAGAGAGGACGGCAATAGACCCGATGGCGGACTTGCCGGGGGTGCCGCTATCGCCGAGCGGGAACGTCGAGGTGGCGGCGAGAGCGAGAGCGAGAGCGGCGTGCGACTAGGGGACGGCCAGGCCTCTGCTGCTGCTGCTGCTGCGGGGGCGTCGCGTTGCGCCGCTGAAGGAGCGGCAGCTGCTGTCGCGCCGGCGGCTACTGTTGTGATATCCGCGGTGAAGGCCTCAGCAGGAACGGGAGAGCGTGGAGACTCCCCGGAAAAGCCCGCGACGGACTCCGACAAAGCAGGCTCGGACCGACCGAGCAGGGATTCGGGCCAAAGCACAACGGGACGATGGGCGGGGGGTGACGCGGATGGTGATGGCGCTCCGGGGAAGCTGTCTGGCGGTCAGGTAAAGCGTAGCGTGGAGGGGCGTGACGAGAACGCCGCAGGACGATCGGATGACGGCGAGGAAGTCGGGAAATTGAATCATGAAGAAGACGGGAGCGGAGGAGCCAGCGGTTTTGCGGTGATGGCAGGCAATGTTTCGGAGGGCGGGGGGGCGAGGGAAACCCGTGCGCCGATGCAAGAAGAGGAGGAGGAGGAAGAGGAGGAGGGGGACGGCAGAAATCGGCAGGATGGAGGTAGCAGAAGGCGGAGGGGAGAGAAGGAGCACCACCAGCGGAGGCGACGGCAACGGCAGGGCGTGGACAAACAGGGGGATGGGGCGCAAGGATCCCCGCCCCCGCCTCCTCTGGTAGCAGCATCCACCGAAACCGCGTTGGCCTCCAGAAGCAGGGACGGTGTTGCTTCTTCCAGCCCTGCTGCTGCTGCTGCTGCTGCGACTCTGCGTGTGGCGCTAGTCGGACGAGGCTTCTCCAAGAACCAGCAGGAGGTGTTCCGGAAGAACGGGTCCAAGGTCGGCATTGAGGTTCTCGTGCGCCCGGAATCAAAGGTGGGCGGTGCCTATGTCGCAGCGTAACATGCCGTAGGTGACGCAAGATGTACACCCCCCAAATGGTGGTTTTCAAAGCACGATTTCTCCTCAGCAGAAAGGGCGGCGGTGCCGATAGTGGCGGCGTTGGAACCGTTCCGCGGAGCGCTTCCCGATGATGTATCCTTTGGATCGTGAATCCTCTTCGTCGTAGAGCAGTTGAGCTCCTGAAGTCGGTCCTGGGGGGGTAATACCTTGGGTCACGTACGGTATGGGGGTTGAGGAGAGAACCTCGACGCCTCCACCCGACTCTTAGGGGCGCCCGTACTACGTTGCAGCAACCGTGACTGTGGTCGACAAAGCGGTGACGCGTGATCGATGGTCAACATAGTACGGTAGGCAACACGAATCCCCCCCTACGCCCCCTCCTGGTCCAACAGCTAAGGCCGCCAAAACCTAGGAGACCCCCCAATGGTCTAACGAATACGGGATGCACGACTCTGAGTACACCCCCCCGGGCTAGGGTAGGG